AGTGCTGATAGTGATTCTGGGGATATATACACACCCAGTGGTCGTGGAAAACAAACTCGAAAGAATCGTGCAAAGAATGGCAGAAATAATAAGCAAGTAAAATCAAAGTCCAAAATAAACTGTTACGAAAATATAAAAACTGATGAGTATGAGGAAGACGAACCGTTTTCTGCAAATGAGGTATCAGATGAAAGTGAAGAGGAAGTTATCAATAGAAGTAGAACAAGATCTCGAAAATTAGCATCTGCATCTGAACATGAGGATAGCATAAAAGGCACAACAAGAAGTGGAAGGAATAACATTGAAAGTCAGAGTGAGGAAGAAGAGGAAGAAGAAGAGGAGGAGGAAGAAGAACAATCTCAACGTGGAAACAATAATCAAGATTCAGATAGCGAAGAATCAGACAAAGGTTTTGTATCATCAAGGTCACAAAGAAGGGTTCGTGGAACGAGAGAAATACAAAATCAAGAAATTATACAAAATTCAAGGAGAACTGGAAAACGACCTCGCTATAATGAAGAAAGTGACGAGAGCAATACAATGCCAGTTAGAAATCGACGTAAAATTAAACGTCGATATTATGCAGAAGAAAGTGATGAAAGTCTAGAACCTGAAAATGTACCAGGCATTAGTATAAGTAGTAGAGGACGTGTACGCAGAATGACGGAACGGGCACGGGCTTTTCTTTTAGATTCACCCTAACAGCATCTTTCATGCTAGTAATAAAAGTGTAAATTATTATCTTTCAAATAATTCTTGCAAACGTTTAAAAATAATGTAAAAATTTAAAATGTTATTTGATAATGTTTATTCAGAAACATGCGACTGTATCCATATTGTAGCATTACACTAAATTTGTGTATGCCAGGATATTATTGCCTGAAAATATTAGAATAAGATTATAGATAGACTGTACGTATAAACACTTGAGATTGTCATAGCAATTCATGGTAAACACTGCTACAAAGTACTTCCATTATTATGAAGCACATAGATAATGTTATTTTTTTATGTTTAAATTCATGATCAATTAACTTCTCTAACTCATAAGACAATTTAGTAGCAAGCGGAAACAGTGTAATCATTCTATAACACTTTTGTTTCATTGGTATCCTTTTTATATACTTTTTCGAAGTTTACGATATTACTGGCTATTCGCATATGAAGTATTTATATATCATTCTCCGTATTTAGAGTGTACTAGCGGCAAACACGTTATACAATTATTTTTGAAAATATTCCGAACTATTATTGATACCTACTGTTTAAAAATACAAATAGAAAAGTGTATCTTTGTAATTCCTGAATTTCTATACCAAAATGAAGTGACATATAATAGTGTTCGTATTACATTGTTGAAAATATGTTACTGTACCTGGAATGACGTAAAGAAAAGTACCCATCTTGTTCAGGGAACATAACTTTAAGCTTTGCTTAATAACTTCAACTTCTGCTTTTTTGATCAAAGTCAATTGACAAGTGAAAGGTACTTTCATGCTAAGATCTTAAAAAGTTAAAGGAAGGCATTATCTAATTATATATGCAATTAATAAAAATGATCTGTATCAGTGTTTATGTTTGTATTTGATGAAATTATGCAAGTGAAATTTTGATGTAAATCCTTTTAATAACACTGACATTTACTTAATGAATTTAGTATTTGCATATTTGTACATTTTTCTAGTAAAGTAATGTTTCATATATCTTAATAAAAATAAAATTGATTTCACATCCATTGAATTGCACATACGCGTGGAATATTAGATTTTATCACGTGCATAGTTTTAATATTCATTGATTGTATCAAGTGTTTGTACATTGAGAAGAAAATTGTACTTATCACCTATATTTTGTAAATTGTATTAAATGAGGCAGTGCCTTTATAAATATGATTATTTATTTAAAGAACAAGAGTAGTACACTTTTTTCTTTTTGTTTCTTTAAAGAAAAATACAACAGAAATTGAATACCTTTTAATTAAATTAATTTAATAATGGCACTGCTTTCGCTTTTTACAACTATACTTAAAATATATTATTTGTACATACAAATGCAATGTAAAATGATTGCAATTTTTTTTAAAGATGTGTAAAACAAACATGTGCTTTACATGATCTGTAGTATAAAGTAGTAACTTTTTACATGTAATTTGTATATTCGTTAGAAGATTAAGAACCAATGCTCGTGCGATTTTAGGAATTTTTCATATATAGAAATAGACATTTTTCAGATTTGTATAGCATAAAAATTAATTCACTTACTATACAATAGGATACAAGTTTTTCAAGACAGTTACGCAACCGGCAAACTAACATAGTATAAGAATATGTGCACAAATATTGGAAGTCTTGACTGTCTCGAGCCATTGTGATATTAGCTTAAGAATATTAAACATAAAATGATATAAATACTAATAATTAGGAGTATAACGGATATTTTTTTAATAACGCCTTGAAAAAGGAGTCATATCATATGGACTCAAGAAGTCAAATATCTGGTTATATTAATTTAATACCGCCGTTAAATTTGATCATTTAATTAATTATATTACAATTAACATGTTTCGTATCTTAATCTTCAGAATTAATATAATTTTGTGTACATAAATATTGTTAAATAACAAAACTTAACACGACAGCGATAGTTTCGATTTATGTAAAGTTTAAAACTTTAGTTGTGAAACCAATGTACTCTGTTGCATACTTAGTTTATCGAAACCCACCGTCACCAATAAAAAAATATTAAATTGTTTCATATTTACTTATTATTAATTTAAAAACCTAT